ATATATATATTTGGTCAAGGGCAGAAACTGAATGAAGCACATGTTTTCTATATTTTAGTCAATATATTTGCTAAATAGTTATGATTCACTGAACAACATGAATATAACAAAAAAATATTTACTAAGATCATTTAGAGATAGTTTGGCCTCACAACTAACCAGGTCTATGATGTCGATATGATCTCAAAACTAAAAGCAATTAATTTGATGGTATAAATATTTATTTAATGCGCATTTCTAGTATCGTTTTAGGCGCTATTTATTTAGTTTTTATTATACTTTCTGACTGTTATCAGAATATGTTCAGCATAGTCTTAGGAGTTTCGTTAAAATCGATTTTTATCAGTCATTATGAAAGCAGCAAATACAGTTGGGGCGAATGATTTCTTTATTTTCAAGGTCAAAATTAGTTAAACATCAAGCTGTCAAAATTAATTTATTTATTTTTTTTTTTTAATTTGTATAAATAAAATTCAATATTCCCAATTCAAAAATATATTCCTTACCCTATTCAATATTTGCATTATATAATTAATATTACACATGAGTTGGGCGCTAGACTGTTTATCATTTGGAAACAAGTTTTTACATTTTTAGCGATTTAATCAATTCTGGGTACTACTGATATGCAAGAAAGTTTGCGTATCAATTACATGGGAAACGGTGCCGATAATATTATCGCACTGTTCAATTTACATATTGGCACTACATAGTCATTCATCATTCCGTCTATATAAAACCCGACTCGATGGCGAGTTCATACAGTTTATATGGGAATTTGATCATGACAGGAGTCATGAAATTTCTAGTGACATTTTGGATAATTGTGATTATCAATCAAATATCTGGCGCCCAGTTAAAAGTAGAATAGATTCAAAGCAAAACGACTCCGCAATATATATTATATGATTCTCCCTCTTACAGGATGATTCCGGATTGAAATCATCGATTTGCCAGGGAAAAAATGGCATTCTAATGCCCATGTTTGGCAAATGTCGGGGATACTATATTTGTAATGATGGCCAAGCTATAGCTGGATCCTGTGATGAGGATAGTCGATTCAATCCTCTCACCTTGCATTGCGACGATGCGGACAATGTAATTTGTCCCTACGAAATATCAGCTGATGACGAAGATGAATCGGACATGGACTCTTCCGAAGAAGATCAATTTGATCAGGATAGTGATGAAGTTGAAGAGCCACCGATTATTATGAAGCCAGTGAAGCGACCAGCCAAACCGTCAAAGGAACCCTATCTGGATATATGTTCAGGCAAACGGAATGGCGTAGCTCTGCCCAAAACAGGATCCTGCACTGAATACTATGTTTGTAAATCGAAAAAACCTCAGCTACGTCACTGCCCAGGTCGACAGCAATTTAGCTCCACTCGCAAGATCTGCATGAAGGCCTCGCTGGCCAAGTGCTCGATAATTCCGGAAGAGCCCCAGCCAAGTCCCGCCATCACGGCCGGCTTCTGCTCCGATGAGAAGCAAGATGCTCTGGTGCCGCATAAAGACGATTGCAATAAATTCTTGCTCTGCAGCAACATGATGTTCTTAGTTATGGATTGTCCGCAAGGATTGCATTTCAATGCCCAAGCCAAACGCTGCGACTACCCAAAGGTCGCACAGTGCAATATCGATAAAAAGGCCACTAAGAAAATTAACCGAAAGCAATTAAATAAGCGAAAGCTGAAAAAAGTATAAATCTTATCTTTCTAAATATATATGTTCTTATATCTGATGCAATATATTAATATCCGAGACTTGTTTTACGACTTGGTCGTTTCAAAGAGACCAATTTAATTAATTTAAGCCGACCTCAAGAAGGACATTTGTTAAATTTCACGATTTATATTACTTATTTTACACTCGATCACAAATCGAAAATCGTAATAATTCTTTTGTGGAATGCCCATCTTGGTATTCCAGCATCCCCCATCTGTATTTGTGATCATAAATCATTTCACTGCTTTACATTTTCAATATATATTACCATCGACAGTCGCCATTGTAAGTAAAGGAATAAATTTATAATCTACACCGGAACGAATACTAGATAAACTAAATACATAATACCATGTAAACTTTCATTTTCAGATCATAAATCTTTTCAAAATTCTATTCATCATATTATACAGTTTCTGGATCTTAAACCATTTTCATAGCTGACCAAATATATTTTTGAAAACTCAGAATGGATGTCTGGGAATGCTGCTTTAAATATGTTTATTAAGAAGTTTAGCAGTCAGAATTATCTGGCCAGTCACACGCGAGAACCTGCTGGTTGAAAACCAAGCCGGCGCTACAGGTGAAGGCAACCTCACACTCACACTGGCATACAATATAGCCACCGCTGCATTTATTCTTGTCATCGACTAACATGGTGCCATCGCGTTTTCCAAGACAACGACCCTTGCTCTCACAGTAGGTGCCGGAGGGGCCGGCTGTGGGTCCACTTGGCGGTGGGCTGCCATCATCGCATTGGACAACATCGGGATAGTCGCATTCCTTGGTAATATTGTTGAACTGCAGATTGTTGGGACAGTTCTGCTGGATCACATTGCCATATAGACATTGAATGAATGCCGAGCAGTTCTTATCGACGGGTCCAATCCAATTGTTAGGCATATCACAGCATTCGGCATCGCAGACCTTGGGAATACAAACACCGTTCTCATCAATAACGCAAGCACCCAGCGAATTATCGAAATAGGTTTGAGCAGGGCATTTTCTCTGGACAAACTTATTATCCACACACTCGTAGAAACCAGCACAGTTAGATTCATCTGGCTTAAGAACGCCATCTTTACAGCCTACTGAAACGCACTGACCATTATCCTGCTCACACTGTTTGCTAGCCGTGTTCCAGTAGTCACCAGAGTTGCAGGAAGCGGAGACATATTGTCCGTTCTGACAGACCAGATATTTGGTGCAGTCCGAAGCATCTGCCTGGGTATCTCCATTTGTGCATGAAGCCTGAGTAACGCACTGACCATTATCCTGCTCACACTGTTTGCTAGCCGCGTTCCAGTAGTCACCAGAGTTGCAGGAAGCGGAGACATATTCTCCGTTCTTGCAGACCAGATATTTGGTGCAGTCTGAATCATCTGCCTTGACATCTCCATCTGTACATGTGCAGGGAGCTACAGTAACGCATTGGCCATTGTCGTCTTCACATTGTTTGGTATCTCTATTCCAGTATTGTCCGCTTGGGCAGGACTTAAGAACGAACTTTCCCGTACAGCAGCCGTAGTATTGAGTGCAATCGTTTTCGTCCGGCTTGGTATCGCCGACTTCGCAGCAATCATCATCGGCCACGGCTCCCAAGACTAAGGCCATAGCAACGAAGAGGAGATACGCTGCAAGTGGATAGATGAATCAAGTATAATATTGATATTATAGGAGAGAATGAATTTTGTTATCTTACCGAAATTTAAGTTTCTTCGGTTAGCCATTTTCGCACTTTGCTTATTGAACGACTATTACCTTGGTAGAGAATTCGTCGACTGACTTTTTCTGGTCCATGTCTCAGCTTTTATATTTTTCCGCAATTAAAATAATTAAATGCTTCTGCTCAAAAACGGATGCAGCTACCAGCAGATAAAAGGGAAACCAGTGCTACTGATCATATCGAGCATATATTCGAACACAACACAACACAACAAAGATTGCTTATCAAACTTCTAAAAATGTTTAAAAGAAAGTAGGAATTGATGAATCAAGATAACGAGATATATATCTCATTGACCTAAACACTCAATACACAATAGTAGAGAGTATAGCATACTCTAGGGCGAGAAACCAGGAAAATAAATAAAGTCAGTTTATTAAGGAGGGCTTAAAATCATTAAAAACTAAAACTAATCTCACACTATTTTTCCATTTGCCCAATTGTTTTATTTGAGGAGTACTCGAAATTATGTAAATTTGATTGGAATTCCTTAAATTCTTTAAAGGTTTTCCAATTAATCAAGCATTTTTTTTTTATTGTAGCTTTTATTTTATTGCTGTAAGACGAACATGAATTTCTTTTCCAATTTCAATTCGACACCCTTTAAAATGTGGTTGTGCAATAACCTTTGGTATCTCCTACACAAGCCTTGATTGATGTATCAAAGTAAGTGCCATGGGCACATTTCTGACTCACGAACTGTCCCATCACACAGAGAAAATAGGCCGCACAGTTTTGGGGATCGGCTTGAATATCGTTCTCCCTACATTCAGCCGCATCAGATTTACATGATTGCATAGTGGAATTCCAATAGCTACCAGTTTCACAAGTCTTATGAACTAAAGTTCCACCGCAGCAGACATAGTAGCTGAGACCATCGTTCGGATCCTCCTGGGTTTCGCCCTCTATGCAACAGTTTCTGGCTAGCGATGCAATTGAGTGCCATAATAGAATGCCCACAAGGAACACTATATGATAAATTCAAATCCTTAAAATCTCCAAAAGCTTTCTGCTCCTTCACAATTCATATGTATACCGTATTGCTGATGCTGTAAACGTTCGAAGTACATTTTCAACTGTAATTAGCTTGAAGCACGAGTGTTTACTAAACACCTGCCTGTTTCTCTCACCTTTTATATTATTCGCCTATCAAAATAATGATATTTTTTTCCCGTCAGATAATGGAGTCTGATAATATATTACACGACTGACAATATCTAGGGTCTTACAAGACTCCTCCGATTATTTTAATTAATTGCTTAGCTAATTGCTAAAAATTTCCAGTAACATCGGTAAGCAATTTATGGTTTATATTGAACTTTATTACTACCCGGCAAGCCCCTTTTTACCCCTTTCAAATCATTGAGCAAGTAAACACAAAGAGCTTAATCATAATCATATGTAGTTAAAAGCTAATACGTTGATTGAAAATCTCTAGTGGCCAAGCAATAAAACTCTTATCTTATCTAAATCTTTGTTAATAACTGTTATGACCTTTGGAAAATCCAATTAAACTTTTTATAATTTCTTAGTATTGCCTGAAGTAATCTATTCGTAAATGTTTGACTTGCTGTTGTCTGACTAAAGAATCACAGCTGGAGCTATAAGAGGACAAATATATTAAAGTCTAATCGTAAATACAAAAAAATGCGCATATCAACTGAAAACTTATGATAGTTATAATTAATTACTTATCTTCATATTGATTATTTTGAAGTATATTAGTCACATTAATATTATTATTATAAGCTTCGAGCTTGGCTGAATTTAAGCAATTATATAATTGAATTGGTAACAATAAAGAGATCGGGAAATGCTCTGCGGCAGAAAATGTGGACCCGGACGGATGGAACACTGCTACGAAGTACAGCTAGAGCACACAGAGTAATACATATGTATATTGATAATCAACAATTTGCAATGTTTCGCAGCTGGCAGCGTTTTGATAATGGATGAGTATTCTGCAGTCGGTAGTGCCCATTTGAACTGCAATTCATATTTTCAGTATCAGTATTATTATCATTATTAATATTTATATATAAATATACATATATAATTAAACAAACATTTAAATAAAATAAGTACAATATTTAAATATAAATTATTATAAATTATTTAAGATAATAAGTTGAAGCACTTACCAGTCAATCCACTACAATACACTGCGACTGTCCGAGTGGAGATCGCCTCTACCACTGATCAAGCGCTTCAAAAAATGAGCCTTATATAGGAGATCGAACCTACTCAAACGCCGTTGAAGCTCGAGAGCCTTGCCTGAACAGTCGGGGCATGTGTATTAGCTCTGTAAATTGAGTAATATAGGAAGAGAGGCGAGCAGAGCTAAATCTACGCCGCTCAGCTCAAGAGCTCGAGCGGCCTCCTACTTCAAACTCAAACATGTTGAGTAGATTGAAAGGAATTTTATTATTTTATTTTTATTTATCATTTATTATTGTTAATTTATTTTTCATTTAATTAAAGAGAGCAGCCGGCTTTGTCAGGATAATTGCAAGTGGACAATTTGGTGTCCCAGTAGAGACCTGGCGAACACTCCATGGGCACTTCGCACTCGCACTGGCAGACGACGTAGCCGCTGCAGCTGGTCAGGGATGGGAAATAGGTGCCTTCGCGCTGTCCCAGGCAGCGGCCGTTGCTTTCACAGGAAATGCCTGAGGGTCCGGCTTCCGGGCCAGTTGGTGGCGAATACGGCCATTCACATTTAACATTTTGGGGATAGTCACAGATCTTGGTCTTGGCATCATAGAGCAAATTATTGGGACAGATCTGCTCTATGGCACAGTTGAAATTACATTTGTAGAACTTGTTGCAAACACCGTTAATGGGGAAGAGTTCGCCCTCCGGCTGGTTCTGGCAAATAGTCTCGGTGTTTGGGCAGACGACATCTGGCACATAGTCCGGCGCATAATCGCACTGATCGGAAGTGGCATTGTAGATCAGACCATCGGGACATATGACAGCGCTGCTGCCACTACCGCCGCCGCTACCACCGCTACCACCGCTACCGCCGTCACTACCGCCATCCGTATTTGGTACATTATCCCAGTCACAGACCTGAGCCGCCTCATTGAATTTGGTATTCGCATCGCAGGGCATGGCAATGGGACACTGGCACTGGCAAACGAAGTAGCCATTGGTATCCGGATCAGCAAACATCTTACCATCCCGTTGGCCGGCGCAAATGCCCTGATCACTGCAAGTGGTGCCCGATGGACCCACCACCTCACCATCATTGTCGTCTGTGCTCACTGGCTTGCAGTCCACGTCCCACGGATAATTGCAGATGCCTTCAATGGGATCGAAGTAGAGGCCGCTGGGACAGATCTGCTCCGTGCTGCAGCCGTGATTGCATTGAATGAACTTCGTGCAGACGCCAGGCAGCTGCAGCAAAGCTCCGTCCGGCTGATTTACACAATCCGGACGCTTGTCGACGCAGAAGGCGGGCACGTCACCACCACCGCCTGGTGGTGCCACCGGACTATCGGTTGGACTGGGACCAGGAGCGGGCTCCGTATTGTAGGTAGTCTCCCCCTCAGACGTCGTCTCATCGGGCACTGTCTCTGTCACACCTATATCCGGGCTGCTGGTGGGGCCGGTGGGCTTCGTGGTACTCTCCACCGGCTGACAGGGCGTAGTCTGCTCCGGAACACTGGGCTCATCGGGACACTGCTCGGCACAACAGGTGCACACACAATCCTCGTCGGCGACCGCCTTACCGAACGGCAAGAGACCCGTACAAACGGCACGCCACTGGAAATCGCATTCACCCAGCTCCGAGTTGAAGTGCAGGCCACGTGGACAGCGGCGAATCTGCGCAACTTCACGATCTTCGCACACCGCAAATCGAGCACAATCCAAGGGCAAGGCCAGACGCGTTCCATCCTCCGCATCGGAGCAAATATTCGCCCATTGCGCCAGCGAGCTATGAGCTCCAATCAGCAAGAGCAAGCCGATTGAGACTGTGTGTAGGTAAATCACGGAATGAATGAATGAATGTATTTAAATCCATTTGCTATTTACCAATTTCTTTCTTGAATTTGCACATTTCTCCTCGCCTGAACATCGAGCGCAACTAATTGCCGTTCGAGCTGGCTCAGTGGCATTTATGGAAGTGGAAAGCAAAAATTTGGGCAACAAATTGTATTTGTATTGCCCATATAGTATATCAAATCAGTAGTCAATCGTCTTGATAATACCAATAAACGTATTTACCTCTTGATTAGTTCTCTTCGCTCTGTTATCAGAGGCGCTTGGGCCCGCTGCATTCATCGCGTGTGTAATTACGCACTTGTTGCGGGATCCTAAAGTCTCTTATCAACAACAACTATCATTGTTGGAAAAAAAAAAAAAAAACTTCTTCAACTTGGAGCCATGCTCAATATTCGCAAAATGCCGACACTCACAACTTGTTGAAAGCGTTAATTTCCATTCTTCCTCTAGCGATAAGGCAGCTTTCTCACTCTCTGTCTCACCTCATTGATATCAGACACACACTTAACGGTTCATTCATTTGGCAATTGTTTAACATTCTTTTAGCTATTAACTCCATTGTTCAAAAGCACCGATTGCAATCTCTAGGCAAATAATAACATGGGCGCACTTAACTGGTCTTACGCGTTTTTATTATGTGAACTGCAATTAATATTGTACATTATTACAAGTACAAGTCTTTTAAGCTAGTCGGTTTTTCTGATTACAGACAAATCGTAAACTAACTAAACTGATTATGTGACTATATATAATGTATATACAGTCGACGGCATAAGTATTTTGACAAAATGAAATGCGTGTATTGCTGGTTAATTATATTTCTTGTATATAGAAGTTATAGAAACTTTAAGATATGCACAAAATATTTTTGTCACAGCAAATTTATATAAATAAATTCATAAATATGCATTAATTGTAATATGCAGATTCAATACCTAATTAATAAATAAATTTATATAAATAAATTCATAAATATGCATAAATAAATCAATTTAAAATTAATCTATAATTATAAAAAAAAAAAAGTATGAAGATAAAAGTTTTTAAATTTATAAATAAATGAAAATAAATTTTGAAAAAATGCGTACATATATATTTAATATTTGAATTTGTTAAATACCAAAAGTATGCAAAGAAATATACTTTTTACGAATTATTGATATAAATTATTAAATATATTAATTTTATAGTATACTTTTTTATTATTTCTAAGGGTGTCTGTTTTTTAAATTTTGATAACCTTGAAATTAAATTTTTTTTCTGACATGATATTTATCGCACCATTGACGAACAACTCATCTAGCAGCAATGCAGTGTGCGTTGTTTCATTATCAACTTGCAAAAATAAAAAAAAAATAAAAAAAAAAACAAGCGTTAAATCCTTCGGAATGCTATTTTTGTTTGTTTTTGAGATGCCAAATTCATTTCAGCAAACTCTTATTTTTAATTAGTTTGCAAGCCATAATTGCTCGCTCTGATTGCTCTTCTGTTCATCATCATCAGYGTATGCAATGTGAAAGTTTCTTTGCTTGATAAATATTGTAGCAATCAAATGTTGATTTCCTTAGAGCTTCTGCAACACTTTCAACATTTCCGCTGTGCATTCTTCATACTGAAGTTTCAGTTTTTGTGTGCTATAAAGCCAAGCGTAAGTGAAAAACTCACGACATTTCTGATTTGAAATTTATTGTAGACTCGTGTAACAATGCTGCTCCAAACAAAGACCAAAACATAACCATTATATCCTGATTTCCCATTGTCAATGGGTTCAGGTTATAATAATATAATATGCGAAAATAAATCAAATTTGGTAAAGTCTGACAAGTATAAATACAAAAAAAAAAAATAATAATAATAATAAAACAGTATGTTTAAAAGAATCTTAAGCTGCGTTTGGTTTGTATGGTCTGTATGGTTTTTTTCTGGTTTAAAGCATTGCTCCTATAATTTTTGTACATAAAGGAAGGTTACAGGTTTAAACGTATAGGCACATTAAAGGAAATATTTACATATTGTGTTTAAAATAAATAGTTAAAAAAAATAATAATAATAATGTAAAAAAATATATATATAC